AAAATCTGTTTAACAACCTGTTAAAATACACCAAAATACAGGAAATGGCATTTACTTCTTTAAAAATTTTCTGGGGGAGGACCCCCAGATTCCCCCCACCAGTGGGTCCCCCCAACATTACAAATACTTACTCTTTTTTTGTCTCTGAATGTCATAAAATCAGTGATATTATCTGTGAAAATACAAATTGAACATCTATTGGCAAATCCATAGCTTTATATTGTCATAGTTTTCAATTTGTCGTTTTTACAAACACATCATCAATTGTCTGTTATAGATATTAGTTTTGGTGCCCCCCCCCCCAAAAAAAAAAAAATTTCTGCAGGCGCCACTGCTGCTGAGCCTCAGAGGAAAAAAACTAAAAGGTTGTTTTTAAATTTATAAACACTTTATGATTGTGACAGACATGTGCATTGTATTTTATCTGCATACAAACATGGACAGTCATGGCTGCAAGTCTCTGACCAGTTCCTGATGTGGACTACAGGTTGAGAACTGGACCCTCAGAGGTGTCAGTTGTGACAGTCAGTGGTTAGCAGCGATAAAAAAATGAAGCTTAAGTCTCTGCGTCTCTCTCTCACACACACAGGCATTCACACCCTCGAGAATAAATCACATTTTTCCTCCCCTGAAACGTATCAGTGGGTCTGAAGCAAAGTGACGGGAAGCAAATGAAAATATAAGTCACAGCATCACGGAGGGACAATTTTCACCACGCATGCAGGGTCCCTAATAGAAAATATTCATTCTTATGTGAATGGGAGGTTGAAGGAGACAAAAAACAGACTCTTCCTCATATCTCTTCTAACGCACGCTTTCAGCAGAAGACAAAAGAGTGAAAAAGGATGAATGAGGCAGAGACCAAAGCAATAATTATTAGGAACAAGTTCCATGATAAACAGCACCTAAAGCTTAATGAGATCAAATAATCTAAGACAGTGCAGAAAAAACGTTTGTGAATAAAGAGGAGGACAACAAAGTGAGACATCTTTGTTTCTTTTCATCAGTGTTAATAAATTGTTTTTTACAAAACCACTTTCATTCCTTTACTTTCAAACACAGAGGGGAAATACGACACCATGTTCACAAAATAAAACAATCCAATAATCAGTTGATACAAAAATCATTTGCTGATCTTGTTTTGAAGCTGAAATCGGCTGAAACCAACATGTTTCTGCAGCTTTCAGTTCCTAAACCCTGTGTTCAGTTTATTACAAAAGCTGTGTTTCCATTGACCATGAAAATGCGCAAATTTGAATTTCAAAAATAAATTTGCTCAATGGAAACACGTCAATTTAAAAAAAAAGGACGTTTTTCGACAAAATGTTTTTGCACTAGGATGAGGTGGTTTTTCAGCCGTATCGAAAGTGGTGTTTTTCACAAAACTGCAATGGAAACACTTTTTTTGCATCACGGGAGTCACGTGATCAACAACCAGCTGTTTCTACTGGTGAAAAAGACGATGATGAAGAAGATAACAGGAAGTAGAAGTAGTAGTAATATCACAGAAGTAGTATAAAATAGTAAACTCACCGACTACAATTTCCCAAAAACACAGCATACGTAGCCGCTCCCAGGTGAGTTACACATCTACCAGAACTGATTAGTCCTGAGTAATCCACCACAACTGTCTTAATTAGCCTTTAACTGTCACACACTTTTTTTTGGCAGGTGGCAGAAAGAAGAAAAAATCTTATCTGCATCTTTTTTCTTGTCAAAATCATTTTTTAAACAATAATAATCTACAAAAAAAGAAAAACTAAACACAAACAACCTCAAATCCTTGTTGAACCACATTTCATATGAATATACATTATAT